ATTTTTAGTAGAGACGGGGTTTCACCATGTTGACCAGGATGGTCTCGATCTCTTGACCTCGTGATCCACCCGCCTCGGCCTCCCAAAGTGCTGGGATTACAGGCTTGAGCCACCACGCCCGGCCCCAGTCTTGAGATTTTTAAAGAATTGGGTTCATTTTTTCAAATTGAAATTGTTTTTATTAACATCTTGCGGGTGTTTGTGAGTTCTGAGCATTCAAATTTCACTATGACCAAAATGTCTATATTTAAATACAAGGTATTTAACACATTGAATAATATGAGCCACATTATTTGCTTTCATAATGAGGGCCCCTTACAAATAAGGCAGAGGCCACGATCTCTGGTGGAAGAAAAAGAAATAAATCTATTTCAAGGTCAATAGCTACACCCCGAATTCACTCAGCTCTACCAAATGTACTCGCACTGCCTCAGCAAGTCACTTCTAAAATTTGACAAAACAATCAAAAGTACATTTTGTACTGAATGTAGTAAGAGGCTCAGATATAACATCTACTTTTATATATTTTTAATTTATGCAGTTTGTTTATTTAATTACTAGGTTAGTTAAGCTGATCTTGTTGCAAATGAGATATGATGATGTACACATGAAGAATAATTGGGCCAGAAGTGTGGCTCACATCTGTAATCCCAACACTTTGGGAGGCTGAGGTGGGTGAATCATGAGGTCAGGAGTTTGAGATGAGCCTGGCCAACATGGTGAAACCCTGTCTCTATTAACAATACAAAAATTAGCCAGGTGTGGTGGCGGGCAGCTGCAATCCCAGCTACTGGAGAGTCTGAGGCAGGAGAATCACTTGAACCCGGGAGGTGAAAGTTGCAGTGAGCCGAGATCATGCCATTGCACTCTAGCCTGAGCAACAGAACAAGACCTTTTTTTTTTTTTTAGACAGGGTCTTGCTTTGTCTCCCAGGCTGGGATGTGGTAGGGCAATCTTGGCTCACTGCAATCTCCACTTCCTGGGTACAAGTGATTCTCCTGACTCAGCCTCTGGAGTAGCTGGGAATACAGGCGTGCACCACCATGCCCTGCTAATTTTTGTATTTTAGTATCAATAGGTTTTCACCATGTTGGCCAGGCTGGTCTCGAACTCCTGACCTCAGGTGATCTGCCTGCCTCAGCCTCCCAAAGTGCTGGGATTACAGACATGAGCCACTGTGCCCAGCGGTACTTGAATGTATTTAGTTTCTCATAGCCTATTTTCCCTCCTTTTAAAGAAATGGGACAAATAATTTTACCAAATGAATGTAAATAAAGGTATTTAGGAAATAATGTGAAAAAGTTTTAAAGCATTATTTACTTTTTCTTTTCTTTTTACATTTTAGATTCAAGGGGCACCTGTGCAGGTTTGTTTCATGGGTAAATTGCATGATGCTGAAGTGTGGGCTTCTAATGATCCTATCTCCCAAATAGTGAACATATGCCAGTTGTGGTGGTTCATGCCTATGATCCCAGCACTTTGGGAGACCAAGGCAGGTGTGTGTATCACTCGAGCTCAGGAGTTCGAAATCAGCCTGGCCAACATAACGAAACCCTGTCTCTACTAAAAATACAAAAATTAGCCAGGTGTGGTGGCACATGCCTGTAGTCCCGGCTACTTGGGAGGCTGAGGCACGAAAATTGCTTGAGCCCGGGAGGTGGAGGTTGCAGTGAACTGAGATCTCGCCATTGCAGTACAGCCTGAGGGACAGAGGGAAACTCTGTCTCAAAAATTAAATAAAAACAAATAGTGAACATAGTACCTGATAGGTAGTTTCTCAAGCCTTTCCCCCTCTCTCCTTTCCCACTTTTGGAATCCCCAGTGTTAATTGTTCCCATCTTTGTATCTGTGTGTACTCAATGTTTAGTTCCCACTTCTAATTGAGAACATACGGAATTAGATTTTCTGTTTCTGAGTTAATTTGCACCAGATAATGGACTCCAGCTGCATCCATGTTACTGCAAATATATTATTTGATTCTTTTTTATGACAGCATAGTATTCTGTGGTGTATATGTACCACATTTTCTTTATCCTGTCCACTATTGATGGACCCCTGGGTTGATATCATGTCTTTTCTATTGTGAATAGTGCTGCAATAAACATACAAATGCTTATTGGTGAAACGATTTATTTTCCTTTGGTTGTATACCCAGTAATTGGATTGCTGGGTCCAATGGTATTTCTATTCTTAGTTCTTGAGAAATCTCCAAACTGCTTTCCACAGGGGCTGAATTAATTTGCATTCTCACCAACAATGTATAAGCATATAAGGAGGAGGAGAGAGGAGAAGGAAGACATTTTTACAGCAGTGCAAGGAAATGAGAATTGGGTTCATTTCTTATCGTGCTTTCTGGGATACGCTATCACCTCCTCTCAGCATACTTAGAAAACCAAACCTTACAATGGAGACAAGTCAACCAAGGTAAAAGCTGGTTCTTTGTATATGTCAATAATTGTGATAGACCCATGTCAAGTCTGATCAAGAAAAAAAAGAGATAAATAAAACACGTTAAAATTCCTTTGTCCCCAAGAAGCACCCAGCAAATATAGTAGGTGTGCATCCAATGATCATAGAATAAAAGTGTTGTTATCCTGTTAAGTCTTCATCCCCAAACCTACAAAGTTTGCATTACTTTGGAGGTTTCTAGCCTTATACTCAATCATCCTATAATCTCTTCTTTTTTTTCCAAGACAGAGTTTCAGTCTTGTTGCCCAGGCTGGAGTGCAAGGGAGCCATCTTGGCTCACTGCAACCTCCACCTCCCAGGTTCAAGCGATTCTCCTGCCTCAGCCTCCTGGGATTACAGGCATGTGCCACCACACCCTGCTAATTTTTGTATGTTTAGTAGAGACGGGGTTTCTCCATGTTGATCAGGCTGGTCTCGAACTCCTGGCCTCAGGTGATCTGTCCACCTCGGCCTCCCAAAGTGCTGTGATTACAGGCATAAGTTACCGCGCTTGTCCTTAATCTTTTTAAATAGTAGAAATAGGCAAAGTAGTCGAGCACTCACTGGTTTGAAATCCAGTGAAAGAAAAAAAATCTTTATGAATGGAGTTAGCCTCTTCTGTAAAACAGGGAGCTCTTAACGAAGTGAAGTTTTGAAGATTTTTAAAGACTGGGAATAATTCTGTAACTTCATAGTTGTACTTTATTTTTACTCTTCCATTCACCCAAGCTCCTTCTTTCTAGCAAATCCAGTTTGTTGGCGGATAAAAATAAATCTGCAGAGTCTCCCGGAAGCTGCCCCATCAGCCTCATAGACAAGAAGCCTGGTTCTCCTGCACTGCTACAGAAATGTCTTCCTCCTCCTCCTCCTCTGGCTCATCGGGATCAAAGTCTTTTTCGTTCTTAGCTGGTTTTCCTTAGAGAAAAGCTGGAGATCGGAGTTCAGTCCAGAGAGGGTGACTTCTTGAGGGCAGGCCTGGAGGCGTGGCGCGCCAGTCCACTCCGCAGCCGGGGGAGAGCAGCGCCCCTGCTCTCTGCGCCGCGCAAGTCCGCCAGTAGCGCCGAGAAATCCGTTACCAGGCGGCTGTGTCCCCAAGGGCCATTCAGGGAGGAAGGGAACAGGGAAAACCGCTGTGTTGTTTCCCGGGCCCTGTGGGCTGGGTGGGCGGCGGGTCAGGTTACAGACAGGTGGGGCTGGCTGTTGGGTGAGCTGCGGGCTCCAGGGCATCCCTGGCCAGGCGTGCCCCCGCAGCACCCGGCAGCTGGCACACGTCTGACGACCTCCTGGAGCAGGGCGATCGCAGCGACACTGGAGGCTGTGCCGGTTGTCCTGGGCGCACCCGAACAAGGTCTTGGGAAGGGCAGCGCGCCCCCCAATGTGAGCACAACTGCTTTAGAAACTTGGCACCTTTTACCAACTCCCCCTCCTTCTCTCCCTCTCCCCTTCAGACATAAAGGTTGATCGGAACAGACAGATGTAATAATAAATGCAAAGCTTGCCTCCCTCCCCCGGTAGGGACGGCGAAAAGATGTAGCCAATGTTCACTATGGTGGCTTCCTGGAAAGGTATTTCCCAGCCTCAGAATTTGGGGATCGGGTGGTTAGGGGCGGCAGTGGTGGGAGTGGGAGAGGATTAGGGGCTTGTTTCGAAGCTGCATTTGCATAATATGCTCCTGGCTTCTGTTTCTATTGTGTGTTTAGTTGGGGTGAGGGGGCTTTCGGGGTGCAACGTCTTGGGATGGAAGCTGCTTTGGCGGGGCAAGCCTCGTTTTTCTTAGATTTTATGATATTAGTCAGAAAAATAACGTGTTCTAAAGATGCCGAATTTAAAATTTTATTTTTACTGCTTATGGGGGGTGTTGTAGCTGATGGATGGCTTAAGCCCCTAAGCCCCCTCCCCCATTGTTAATAATCAGAGTCCTTGGAAGCCTCCCGCCGCCTCCCCTTCTGACCGCCCAGATTTCTCCAAGCCCCGGGAAGGCTCCACGAGGTCCAGAGGAACTGAGCCATTTTCTGGCTGGTCTGAGACAGATCCACCGGGCGGGGGAGGGGGGCAACTTGTGGGAGGCCCCAACTCACCGGAGGGGTGCCCTGGGAGGCAAACCTGGGGTTTATCTCGAAGAGCTCACCTCGAGGTGTAGGTGATGGGGGAATGGGAAGGGGGTGGATTAAAATATGTTCTGCTTTTTTTAAAAAAGAGGAGGGGGAAGAACAGACTTTAAATTCTTTTGCAAACATTCATGCCTAAGGAAGGGCTGGAACAGGCAGCCTCGGCCGCCGGAACCGGTCGGACAGGTAGCGAGCTTGTTGACACCGTTATGTTGCAGGGCGCATGCTCACTCCCAAGTTTCCTGGTGCCTTTTCTATTTCACCTTATGAAACTTTTTCCCCGGCGTGGTCTCACCCGCGATTTAAGGCATAGGTGTCGCCGAGCCCGGAGGCTGGGAGTCGCCAGGCGTGCGGGGGAGAGGCCTGGGCCGCGTCGCGGAGGGGGGTGGAGGAAGAGGGCAGGCGAGGCGGGAAGGTGGGCTCTGGCCGCCGGGAGCCGGGGACCGAGACGCCGCCGTCGCCCCTAGCGGGGAGCAGCCGGGAGGAGGGGGCCGCAGCCGGGAGAGGGGACCCCACCATGCCCAAAGTCTTCCTGGTGAAGAGGAGGAGCCTGGGGGTCTCGGTCCGCAGCTGGGATGAGCTCCCGGATGAGAAAAGGGCAGACACCTACATCCCAGGTGAGCGCGCGCGGGGGCCGGGCCTGGGCGCCGGGCTCCCAGGGTGGGGGAAGGGGTGGCGGGTCTTCTCTGCTCTTTGTCAGGGTCGGGCTCCCACCTCATCCCCCTCTTCCGGGGGGCACGCAGGGGTCTTCCAGGCGGGGGAGGGCGGGGAGTGAGGGACTGGGATGCCCGGGACTCTCGGCGCCCCCTTCCCCCTAGTGGGAGCCTCTAATTGCCCGGCGGCGGGACCGTTGGCTGCGGCGCGGGCCGAGGTGGCCCAGGAAAGGGAACGAAAGCTAGCAGGGGTTAACCCCCAATCTCATGTCCTCATGGGGGTGCACAAAGGCCCACCAACCCTTCTGGGGGTAGCTGGGAAGAGATCAGACCCGCCTCCCACTCCCCGAGAGGAAACTTGGCGCGCGGGGTCCTCCGCCGCCCGTGGCCGCCCAGTTCCTCGTGGGAGCCGGGGCCGGGACCGGGAAGAGGCCCTGAGCACCCCAAGCTAGCTCGAGGGGCCGATCCGAGGCTTACTCGCCCACCCCCGCGACGTTGCCCACTTGGCGAGGTGCCCAGGTCCGGGGCGGGGCGGCGGCGGCACCGCCCGCAGGTCAAACTGCTGCGGGCTTGCGGGCTGACGCCGAGTGTGTGTGTCGGGGCGCGGCCCCTCCCTCCACAGTGGGCCTGGGCAGCCTGCTCCACGACCCTCCCGAGGACTGCCGCAGCGACGGCGGCAGCAGCAGCGGCAGCGGCAGTAGCAGCGCGGGCGAGCCCGGAGGCGCCGAGAGCAGCTCGTCCCCGCACGCCCCCGAGCGCGAAACCCCCGAGCCAGGCGACGCCGATGGCCCCGAAGGACACCTGGCGGCCAAGCAGCGCCCGGTTGCCAGGTCAAAAATCAAGGTACTGTGTTGACTCTGCCCCCGCCGCCACAAGCACCACGCCCTGGCGTCGGGCTCCCGGGGCCTGCGCCCCTCCCTGTCGTGCCCGCCCGCGCAACCTGGCACCCGCGCCCTGAGCGCGCCAGCCGCGCGGCTCCTGCACCTGCCCCTGGGCCGCGGCCAGGGCGCCTCGGCGCGCCCTCCCGCCAGCGGGGTAGCCGCTGCGCAGGGGCGGCGGGATCCCGTTGTGGGTTCTGTCCGCCCGGGTGGCCCCGCCAGATGCCGAGTGCGGCCTCTGGAGCTGCGGAAAAGGCACAGGTATTGCTGTTTTCCGTCCGCAGCCCATTCTGTGCGCTAGGCCTCTGGAATAACCAAGGCCGTCGGGGGTTCCCGAGGTCGGAAAGGAGGCCCATTCGCTCTCAGAAATTCCACCCTGCGGGACGCAGTTCCTGGCCCCGCGGCTCCTAGAGTACACCCCCCATGCTTGTGTTCTTGGACTTGGGCGGCAGCTTAGCACATAGTGGGCCTCTCCCAACACGAGCGGTTCCCAGTGTGTCAGACGGGAGGCCTGTGGTCGTTACTTTAGATCTGTCACCTTTCCAAGCTTGAATTAAATTGATGGGTAAAAGGGTTCAAATGCAGATTTCCCCCAGCGCCCCTACCACAGTACATTGGAGTGTTTGCTGCCATCTACGGTGGCGCTTCGGGGCCCCCTCGAGCATTCTGGACGCCCACCTGAGCTTTTCTGGGCTGAACTTCCATGATGCTCTGCTCAAAGGTATTCGATACCCAAGTTTAGGAATCCCATTCCACTGACTCAGCCAGCTGCAGCAAGGGGGGTGATGGTTTATAATCACTTGACCCCACTTCCTGGCCTGGTGGGCCGAAGTGCGACGCTGTGCACACCCTAGGCCCCCGGTGTAGGTGGTAAATCCAGAGCGCTCTGGTGCCCTCCTGCCACCCAGATCGGGGGCTTGGGGGCAGTGGGGAGGGAGAGCCCCGGCTTTGCTGTGGATTGAGAAAGCAGCCCTCATTTTCCTGGGAGAGGCCACCCCCACTCCCCTATGCACATTCCTTATTCCCAGGGTTTGACTCCGGGGTGGGCTGAGGCGCATTTGGTTATGAATTGAGGCTTGAGGCTTCACCTGGCATCCAAAGGAAAGACTTCTTTAAAGAAGAAGCTGCCGACGCCATGCGGGCCGGCAGCATAGCGGTAAGTGTGAGGCTGAGGTTCAAAGTCAACTGGCCTGAGGCTCTTCTGGGCCAGGTGGGGTTAAGTGGGAGGGAACAATTTGCCTGAGGCTGGTAGCTCTGCCCTTCGGGGAATTCTACAAAGTGTCCCACTTGCATATTTATCACCAGGCTGGAAGGACAATTGCAACGTTGTTTTGGGAGTCTCTGTAGCTAGTTTGCCCCTCTGTCCCCCAATTGCCCAGATTCCCCTGGAGACAAAGTGACAGATTTTCTTGTCTCTTAACCAACATTTTAGGCAGTCTCTTCTGCCTCAGGCACACACGGCCGTTGGAATCCCGGATTTAGGGAAAACGTAAACCAATCTGATTTCCTAGATTAGTTGCTTGTGTGCTGGGGGAAGGGGGTGGGGAGGCACAGTTTGCTCCCGTACCGTTAAGAGAGTCTTCTTTCCATAGTTTCCAGGGGAGTTTTTATTTACTGGGGATGTTTAGGTTCCTTCTTTCCGCCTCTACCCACCAAAAGGAGGCATTTTGGTGTTAATATGCTCCAAGCCTCCAGGATTATCAGCCGTGGCATTGGCAGTTTTCAGATAACTGACCAAATTCCCTGTGACTTAGCACGTTGCATAATTCCAAAGTTCTTTCCGAGGCATGCTGAACTCAGGGTTTTTCTAAGAATTAGTTTCTTCAGTCAGTGGGCTCCCAGGACCACAAGAAGGGCAGGTCTGAGCCACTGCCTAGCACAGAGAGGCAAACCCCACCCATCTAACATCTGGGGTGTGCAAGGCAGCAGGAGGTAAAAATGCTTCCACCCTGGTGTTCCTTCTAGAATCATCTGGCAGTAACGGTTAAGCATTTATGCTCTGGCTTTTTTGCTTCTTAGCTGTGAGACCTTGAGCAAGTGGCTCACCCCTCTGGGCCCCAGATTCCTTATCTGTAAGATGATAATATTGATTCCTGCTTCATAGCATTGTGAGGATAAATAAGTGGAGGGTAGAACCTGATCTGTGCCCAATTACTGTAGATAGCATTTGGGTTAATAGGGAGACACAAACATTAACTCTGCTGCAGCACAGTGAATGTGAAAACAGAATTCCAAGCAAAGACGTGATGAATTTGAGTAGGGAAGGTGTCCTGATATGGATTTGAAGGCTGTGGAGAAGGGAGCGGGTGGGCTTGAGGGTGGTGTGGGCTGAGTCCCACAACTGGAGCATAGAAAGGAGGAATCTCTGGTGGCTGAAGATAGGAAACGGGGCTTGCTGGGGTCAGGGACAGAGTTGGCGGTAAAGAACTGGAAATGTAACCAGAACAGGGTGAGATGGTGAAGGGGCCAAGCCAAGAAGTGTGGGTGCTCCTGCTGGGCAGAGGAGAAGCTCTGGATGATTTGTAAGAAGGAAACCCTCAATAGGGTCTCTTTTTTTTTTTTGAGACAGAGTCTTGCTCTGTCACCCAGGCTGGAGTGCAGTGGCACAATCTCGGCTCACTGCAACCTCCGTCTCCTGGGTTCAAGCCATTCTCCTGTCTCAGCCTCCCGAGCAGTTGGGATTACAGACACCTACCACAATGCCCAGCTAATTTTTATATATTTTTTAATTAGCCCTGCCTAAGCAGGACATAAAAAATTTGGTTATAAACTCATAATTGTTCCTCTCCACAGAAATCTTTAGTAAAAGGTGAAAGATTTATTTGTTATGAAGAGAAGCCAGAGCATAACAATTTTTTAAAATTTTATTGCGTTTTAGGCTTTGAGGTACATGTGAAGAACATGCAGGATTGTTGCATAGGTACATACATGGCAATGTGGGTTGCTGCCTTCCTCCCCATCACTTATATCTGGCATTTCTCCCCATGGTATCCCTCCCCAAGTCCCCACCCCCTGCTTTCCCTCCCCTAGGTCCCTCCCACAGACCTCAGTGTGTGATGCTCCCCTCCATGTGTCCCTGTGTTCTCATTGTTCAACACCCGCCTATGAGTGAGAACATGCGGTGTTTGATCTTCTGTTCTTATGTCAGTTTGCTGAGAATGATGGTTTCCAGTTTCATCCATGTCCCTACAAAGGACACGAACTCATTGTTTTTTATGGCTGCGTAGTATTCCGTGATATATATGTGCCACATTTTCCCTGTCCAGTCTATCCCCGATGGGTATTTGGGTTGGTTCCAAGTCTTTGCTATTGTAAACAGTGCCACAATGAATATTCGTGTGCACATGTCCTTATAATAGAACCATTTATAATCCTTTGGGTATATACCCAGTAATGGGATTGCTGGGTCAAATGGTATTTCTATTTCTAGGTCCTTGAGGAATTGCCACATTGTCTTCCACAATGGTTGAACTAATTTACACTACCACCAACAGTGTAAAAGTGTTCCTATTTCTCCATATCCTCTCCAGCATCTGTCGTTTCCAGATTTTTTAATGATCGCCATTCTAACTGGCGTGAGATGGTATCTCAATGTAGTAATTTTTGTGTTTTTAATAGAGACAGCATTTCACCTTGTTGGCCAGGCTGGTCTTGAACTCCTGAGCTCGGGTGATCTGCCCACCTAGGCCTACCAAA